GGGGAGAAAGAGGATTATGTTATGGTGGTTGGCTTTTTTGTTCTGTTGTTCGAAATGAATTGAGTGTGTAAGAGTTGAAGTTTTGGATTTTTTTTTGTATGTAGGATTTTCCTCGTTGGAAATCGCACAGGGACGATTCTTTAAGTATTTGGTTCTCCGTTGCATAGGTAGTGGAGTCCCTCCCGTTCATGGCCGGTTCCAAGACCTCAGTCATCAGTTGGGCTGCGGATCCCCGCTTGTTTCGCAGCGGCACAATTAAGGTTGCCGATGCGGGTGCCTAGCTCCCGCCCTCCCGCCATTGACAGCGGACCATTTGTTCAACTGCAACATCACCTGTAGTTATTCTAACGCTGGCGTTTCTTCTCGCAATTATCAACGAAGCATATCGCATGGGGTCGGTGATGGTGTGATGCCCTAACGAGGGTTTGTGCAGCATTGTCCGACTTCCAAAGACTAGCGAGGTACGACCGTATTTTGAAGGTATTTGTTATTTGTGTTACGCAACGTGGTTCGTGCTCGTATGCGCGGAGAATAATTACAATATTTCCTGTATCCGAAGACGAAAATCTTAAGAGGGGTATCGGAGGAAATCTGCGAGGGATGGGAGGGTTGCAATTGGAATGGTGTTGAGACAGGTCAAGGGTCGAATAACCTTGTTCATGTAAGCAAAGGGGCCTGGTTGACTTCTACACTTACTCTGTTCAGAGTTTTTAAGAAATTCCGAATTCCGAGGGTGACGATGTCAAGGAGACGGGTACAGAGATTGTAGTACTGGGCTTGTTGCTGCGACACATTTTCATGCATACCGTCGACAGGTCTATGGACTACGATGAGTTGGCGGTAAAGCCATATTCCAGTACCAGGTCTCCAGCCTATCACTACCGTGATTTATTCCAGCGAAAAGACATCGATTTTGGTCCAAGGGAGTAGCTGATATCCGTAAATATAGTCTGGGTAACAGCTCGCGGAATGAACTCCGCCCCGACACGTCAGAACGTGTCCTTTCAGTTATCACCACATCATAATCTCACTCTGAGACGCCACTTAGGCTCTTTCAATCGACCTCTATCCTTTTTCGCGTGTCCGTTCAAAAATACTGTGTCCGTGTGATAACATCTGCTTCCTCCGTCTCGAGCTTACGATGACTACGAGGGTTGAGAACGATCAGGCGGCGGACAGGATCGGATAAACAACGCATAGAAGCGATTTTTCAAGACGTTTGGAAGGAACTAGGGGTTGAATCCGAGCGGTGTAGAGGGTAGAACGTGGAATTCCGATGCAGTTCCTCTAAGAATCGATGACTGAACTTGCCGAGCGTAGTTAGGAAAACTGTCAACGTCGTGTTGCCTACACGGTTAGCAAGACTCGCGAAGTCTCTTGTTTACAGGTCTATAAGGCTGGATGTTGACAGAAGCATATGGCCTGGTCATCAAAGCACACTATGCAGGCGTACATAGCAGTCGCCCTCGTCGTGTAGAGTGATCACATGGTTTTTTTTTCGAGATAGAACAGATGGAACAGACAGAATACGAGATGATGCCATGCTTCTTGCCGGAACTTTGCCCGTAAGCGCTCAAAGAGCCACGTGCAGTGGACCCATCGGCGACTTTCACGCCCGTGCGTTTGTGACACCGGCCGCAGGGACACTCATGCAGAGAGATACAGAATGTCACAGCCGCACTTCCCGCGTTTCCCGTTATTGTTCCGAGTCACTCACGTTTTTATTCAAGGGTATCAGCGGCACATGACTAGTAACGATTCTATAGCTCAAGAGTTTCGGTTTTGATGAAAAGGAGTCCTCGTCCCAAAAGAGGTTGCTGCACACGTGCCCACGCGATCAGCGGAAGGTACGCTCCGATACGGGTCGGACCGGCAACCTGAAAGCTGGGCAATTTTATTAGAGTTCTTGCGCTGCCAGCCGTACTTTGGGAATAAACTGTCCTTCCCGTTTAAAGTTGACAGGTTGCACATACACACAACCTTGTTGAACTATTTTTTTTTACGTTTTGCCGAATTTTCAGAAAAGAAACGTTGGCTAATCTGTGACAGATGAAGTCTATTCTTCTTCTTCCACTGCTTTACCATGTATTCATGCGTGTGCTTCCTCTGAATCAAGACCATATTAACCTTCCTTGGTATTTCGCCGGCGGTTTCCAATAATCACTCCATTGCCGCATTTGGCCAGATAAAGCAGCAGTGTGTCAAAGGGGGTAGATCAGAGGGAAGTTCCGTCCTGCTGTCTTCCTTTGCATTGCAACTGCGCTTTGATGCTTTTAATTCCTGTCTGTCCTCATCGTGTATCGTGTTCTCTCTGATGTTGTGGCCTTGAATGGCGGGACCCTCATGGAAACGTGTTGTATATCGTATGGCGGAAGAGCAATGAGCATGAATCTCGACCAACTTTACATTTGTCATTGAATCGCAGTTCCCGTCACTGCTCTGTACTCCTCGGCCCATATGGTGCGAGCCCACTGCATGAGCTGAGCCGAATCCCCGAAGTTGCTGACTTGCGGGCCAAGTGTACCGTAAAAGGGCGAGCAGACGATCCGTTCCCTTCTGCGTTCCCGCGACCGGCCAAAAGAAACGTGTGATTCGTTAGCTTCTGTGAGCTAGATGCAGATGTCTGGCCAGCGCAGGCGTTAGCGCTATGCATGAATACCACAGGTTGGGATGGTAGACTCTATAGAGTGCGTAGTACGCTGCCACGTATGACTACAACACCGTTCTCCTCTCCTCTCTATAGTGCTATTTTATAGCGCCTTTATACCCAATATGTTGGTGAGCTATTTGTAATCCTTGTAGTAGCTGCAAGGTGCTTGAACAGAACAAACGGACGTGTTCGAGGAGATGGAGCGCGACTCTGGTCTCGATGGTCTGATGTCGTAATCAAGCTAGGAGTCATCAGTGCGTGTTAGAGTATCTCATCCATGGAACAAACATACAGGCCACGTTGACAGGAGGCATCAACCTGTATAGGATGCAGCCGTCCTCGGTGTGGCTGACTTGGAAGTGAGCGCAGATGGCCCTTGTCGAGATAGAAAAATGCGTTTCCGTGACACCCGAGTCTCCAGAACGTCTCCATCAAGCAAGCTCGTCGCGCTCGACAGCCATCTGTGTTGCAGTGTCCTCTATCATCAGCCGTGTCTAGCCACAGCGAGATGCAATCCGTGGCGCTGATAGGTGCTGCATGGCAGGCAAAGTATCGGTTGTGACAAGCAAGTAAGATTGTTGGAGACGTAAGCGTTCGTCTTTGTTTAGGCGAGAGATCGAGTAAGCCAATCCGGCAGCTTCTTTGCCAGAGACCAGCAAGTGAGCTTGTCCTCGTAAGGTAAGGGTATAGGTGTCAATACAGACTATTCAAAAAGCGCTGAGGGGGAAAGGAAAGTCTGGGTTGTGCTCGGAGAGTGAATTGTCCCGAAGATCTGCATTAGTGCATGGAGACAGCGGGTGAATGAGTAAGGAGGCAGCTTTACATATAGTACCCACTGGAACACGAAGTCTTTGAATGTATAGTATCTAGTTGGGAACATGACTTCGTATTTACTGCTTGCTTTTTCGGAAATATTCACGTTTTCTGTATGCCAAGTCTCAGTGAAATCCTTTACAGTCATGCAACTCGGATTTGCGCTTGCCGGCCTGGAGGCTTCAGCTAGCAATGCCACAGTAACACTGCTTTCCACCCATGCATCCACTATACAGTGACACTATTCCAACCACGCGTCGATAGCCGCCATCGTATCGAGGCAGGACTAGAGCTTCTACACGAAGAGCATTCCTCTATGCTCCTTGGGAACCATGAATCTATTCGGCGACACCCCTGGAACGCGTGTGCTCTCACTGGTGTCAGCGAGCCCCATTGAAACGCAGAGCCAAGGGGGGCCAAAACTGCCAGTCATGTGTCACTTTGATCAAATCATATGACGGCCCTGCTTATCACTCGCATTCGGATAACAATCCTCCCCGTCTCTGACCTGCACAATCATCCCAGTAGATACGCTTCTGGAACCATCCAGATTGACGATGCCTTTCTGCGCGCAAGGCTACGAGGTTGCAGAGAGCGAAGCCACTGCCTTTAGGTCTCGTTGCCTATGCTGTAACACGCCAAAAGACAGTGAAGCTGCCACTTCTTCCTGTCTATCTACCGGATTCCAGGAAAGTCCAGAACAAAGCCACCATCTTCTCATCCCTACCCACGAGGCTACACTACACATCCACGCAGTCCCTCTCCCTAAGCGCACGCCATCCCTCAACCATCCACTCAACGCCTCCATACCCTCTCCAAATCCCCTACTCCTCGGCGCTTCTTCTTACCCACTCAGCCACATATCCATGCAATCCTTCCGCCTTTCATCCCTCAATTCTCCACTCCTCGGCGCTTCTTCTGCTCACCCTCGCCTCGCCTCCCTCGCCATACCCTACCCTACCCTACCCTACCTCGCCACAACCTCCCCACAGCCTAGCCCCAAAAAGTCCAGCCCCAAAGTCCCTCTCCTCGCTCGCTTACAAGTCCATTTCCAACTGCAACCCACCACCTCGATGCGTGAATATGCAACCCTCTACTGCATACGTGTAACACCAACATGCATCGCATATCCATTCCCACTTTTACTCGCCTCCCGAGTCCGGATCAATCACATTAAGCGCGAGGGCGTAAGTAGCCCTTGATTGGGTGCTCATAATATGGATTAGATGGGAGGGGTGGGGACAAGGGAAACGCGTGGGGCTGACCTTTTCTTTTCTTTTTTTTTTCGTTGCCTGTTTTGCCTGCTTGGTTTTTGATTCGGTTGGGCAGGGTAAGGGAAGAGGGAAGAGGGGGGGTGGGGGAGTGATGTGACGGGCAGCGGACAAAGAAGGTAGAGTAGGAGGATGGGGTTTGTTTGGGGCTACTGAGAAAGGTAAAGTATCTGGTCCCTTCCCCCCCCCTTCCCTACTCCTACTCCTCTTCTTCTCCGACTTTCGGCTTTTTGAAGTGTGGGGCGTGTGCGCGGATCTTGGGCCGAGCGGGCGTGAAGGTTGAGGGTTTTTGCTTCGTCCGAGGTTTGTGAGCGGTGGTTGATAGTCGTGAGTTTGAGTGGGATAAGGAGGCTCTTCTTCCCATCACAATATCATCATAACTCAATGAACACCTGTTAGAAGTAGACAGACACTTGTCACTCTAAGCACGCTTAGAAAAGGAATATAGGGTTGATACAAATGCAGGGCACACGAGTAACAAAGCCGCTAAAGTAGCCAAACTGCCAAATAAACGAATGCAAGTACATTTTGAAATACGAACTTTACCTCCCGGCCCGGTTTCCCCCCCATTTGCCCCATATCCCGTTTCCCCTCTTCCTACCTTAGCCCAGGCAAAAAACCAAGTTGACAACGTCGATAAGCCACTATGACCACCAGCTTTCCAAATGATAACAGCAAAAAAACAACCACCAAAAAAAGGAGTGACTATTGTCGATCACGAAAAGTCGTAACTCGAGCGTTTGAATTCCAAATTCCCATCAACTTAATTCAATCTCTCGCGCCAATTTCAGATGAACTCGAGCAAACATAGCTCAAGGCGAGAGATACGAGCCACTCATTCAAGAAGTGATACTCTGATTCATCTGCGTGCCCAAGCTACGATAGTGGCTTGCTGGCGGCGGCGTCTGCGCAGAATTCATATATCCAGTAATCGTCCTGAGCGCAACCTCGGAGCAGTCTTCTTTTGCCTGAGAAAGATAGTCGCCATCGTACCAGAAGCGAGCTTGGTATTCGGTGCCGCTGACAGAGACCATGGTGGTCCATGCAGTTCGACCTCCTGGCCTGGTGTGTTAGTTGCTTCTCTTAACAAGCTTGGGGGTTGGATGCTGAAGTAGAAATATGGTGGTGCTGCAAATTTTCAGGGGAAGGTGGGTAAGAAGGGCCGCCGTACCTCGGCGATCCGAAAGATCCGTATAAATTGGCTCTGGTATACCGCGGACCAGACAATGCTCTGAGCGGGCATGTTAACAGGCGACTGTGTGTATGTGTGTCTGTGCAATGCAACAGACTGAGTGGGGGTAGATGGAATACCAACCTCGAAGACGTTGTGACCACGAATCCGGGCTCGTCATTGTAGGCAGGCGTATCAGGTGGAACAGATGTGGTAAGAGGCACTTGAAAGAAGACAATAAGAGGGAGCAATGCTTTGTGAGCAAGAGGATGGACAGAGTGTGGGGGAAGGAAAGTTTGATACACCAGGGCTGAGCGATGCTCGGAGAGGTTGTCAAAAAGGGCTACTTATAACCCGGCCGACATGGAGACAGAGGCTCGATGAGTAGCAGAGCGACAGGCGGTGGCAGCAGTGAGTAACAGAGATTCGCGGCAGGCTGCTTCGTCAGTCATACTCTCTTCTAACCTGTGATGCACACAACTGCTAGGAGCCGTCGAGAGCCACCTGGTTCAACGGGGGCACAGCGAACTTTTTTGCACCCGCTCAACGAAACCCAAGGCATTGGGTCGAGAGGCGCCCTCTAGAGCGGGCCGATGGGGTATGCGAGAACCAAGAACATGGCTAAGGCGAAGCGCAGCCGAATCCTGCATGCGGAGAGTTGATGGATTGCGTGGGTACAGCTCAGGTGAGCAACCATGGCCGTGGAGAGCGCGGTTGGCAGTACCCTGAATGGGGCAAGGGCTGCATGCAGCATACGCCCGTTCAAAAAGCTGTCAGTTGGGGAGTTTGCTGAGGGTTATTCTGGAACTGGAGCCCAAGAGATTCCATTGCGTATGCACATGGCTGCAAGGCATGATGCTAGTGGGAAGCCAGCTCACCATGCAGCAGTAGCCAGAACCCCCGTCACGGTCGTCGGCATAGAGGGCAGCCATGATATCATAAGCCGAAGATTTTCAGCGATATTAACAATATGGCCTGGGGCAAAGGTGAGCGGGCAGCGACGGGCAGACATGGGATGGGGATTGTGAGGCGAGTGGCGGGTGCTTTGGTGACGGCGGACGGCGTCTAACGACAACTTGCATGTGGAGAGACGGAGCGGTTCGCACTTACTGGCTTGGCATGACATGCATGGTGCCCACGGAATCAGCTGTCACATGGCAACAGAGGTAAACGGGTACCTGCTTGGCTGTTTGCCCTCTGTCCGGTGCAATCACCATCATGAAAGCAAAAGCCAACATGTATCTGAAGCCTTACGTTGTGGCATTGCAGTGCTTGGCGATGCGCTTCACACCTTGCCCGTGACACCTGGTGCGAGGTGCTACAATTCCCACCACAAGCCTGTCAAGACTGCTCAGCCAGCACCAAAGCCTCACTTCGCATCAATGCAGGCTTTCCAGTCCGACGCGTAAGCAAACATCACAACGAATGTACCATCAGTCTACTCTTCAGCGTATGCGCGTGTGCAAAAGCCTCACTGCGACCCTGGGGCGTGCCCTGCATATCCACACGCCAGCAACACAGAAAACAAAACAGAACAGTCTCACACGTGGCGGGCATTGGACCAAAAATAGCAGAGGGAAACGGGCCCTAGTTTCATTATTCGTTCCAAATAATTGGTGGTATCGTTAACGTGAATCCAAAACATGTATCGATCCAAGGAATAGAGTGGCTGTTCGTAACCAAAAAAAAACATAACTCGAGAATCGTCTCAACGCGCTCAAGTCCCTGGCGGGAATGGTATCCTGTGAAACCCACGCTCAACAAATGCAGCAAACTCATGACGCAATCCGTGCCGCGGTCAAAGGGACCATGCGCATACCAAACATCAAACAAGACAAAAATAAGCACAAAAGAAAATTGACAACCAGCCCTGTAACAACGACCGCTGTCCATCGGATCCTGTCCCAACAGAACAGTTCTGACAGCTCCGTCGTACGTGTACCATTAGATGATGCGTCTATCCTTACGGTTGCAGGGATGTGCGCCAACGCAGCGGGCCTCGAATGAACAACTGTGAAGCACACATCAACGAGGTCGACGCCTCACGTCGCGACACGACGCACAGCCGCCGGTGGTGTCGGTCTCTTGGCTGTGCTACCGTCGTGCTGCTTTCGGTTGAAGACTTCATCAATTAACCGCTTGGGGCCAATGTACTCCAAATTGGCCATCTTGAAAGATGAGTTACGCAGCAGCGGAATATGCATGTGCGTAGTCTGCTTCGAGTGGAAACGTCGCTTGATGCAGTCATCCACAAGTGCCATTAGACCCGTTGCAACCACAACACTAGTTTATCAATGTTAGCTTGCTGCCTATCGTAGCGGCGGAGTCGAAGTCTGTGACTTACTCAGATATGTCCGAGTCGGAACTCAGGATCCGCTCGTCGGTGATGCGCATATAGCACGGGGGCACCCAGCCACCCCTCGCAGCCTCCTCATGCGCTTCGCTGGGCGTCACGCGCACAGGACAGATGTGGGCGAGCGGCTCCTTGTCGTTGTCGTCGCGGACCAAGTAGTAGGAAATGGATTCTTGCTGGCCTTCTTTCTTAATGATGCGTTTCCACGAATAGTCATTGCCCCAGTATTCAAACGCATATTTCTTGTACGACTTGGCGCCACGTCTCTTTACATCAATGTGGGCGTAGTTGGAAAACTCGAGCTTGATGGTATTCGTCGGAATCAGTGCCCGGCCTTTGGAGTAGCCCACGGTTTTGGGACGTGACTCAACTAGATCGTCGTCGTCATCATCATCGTCGTCGCGGCGAGTAATGTGGTGCATTGAGTCATATCCCGAGTCTGCTCGCTTCAGGCCTGCTGATGTCGAGGGGCGGGGTTCGGATTTGACAAGGCTAGCGAGGGCTGTGCTGGCACGCTGCAGCACTGGCCGCATCTCGGTGGCAGGCTTTTGGTACTTGCGTGTTGAGTGGCAAACCTCACGGCCAGAGTCTCTGCAGTAACGACGAAGCGAGAATTGACGAGTGCGGAGGTCCTGCATGCGGAGATGGAAGAGAGTGTAGCTCTGTTTCCGGTGGGATCGATCCTCGACCTGTGTGTCTACCCTCAGGTTCATGTTTCCATCAATCGTCGAGTCGTCATGTCGTATTGATATGCGTTTTGAGGTGGGGAAGAGCTCTCCAAAGTCGCGGGGTGTGGTGGGAATGGCATCGCCGCCTAGCGGCTCATGGCGATATACGGGGACATCGTAATCTGGCATGCCTTCGAAATCATCGGCGAGATCCTCTTCTGATGTCGACGCATATGTGTCGACTGATGAACGTGGAGGAAATTGCTGGTAGGGCTCGACTTGGTGTTGAGGCGTAGCGTAATCATGTTCCTGATAGCGTCCTTGTATGCGGCCATGACATGTTTCGCTGTAAGCTAGAGACGGTCTCCGGCCGCTGTACTCTGTTGGGGCTGTTTCGTAGGAACGGTCGCTGTGTTCGCTGCGACCTGAAGTGGTACTGTTGCTGGACTGATACTGTCGCCAATGCCCGGATGGCGCCATGACGTGATGTATGTGGTGTGGGTGTGTGTGTGATGTGACGTGTCGGCAGCCACGCGATCAAAGGGATACTCGGGAGCAGAGGCGGATGGGGGGGTGAATAGATGGTTTATTGTGTTTGAATGGCGTTATAGTGCAACGCAGACAAGCGTATACATAGACTACGAGAGACTGGGGCCTGGAGTGAAGCAGGCGGCGCAGCGATCTGAGACAGCTGACGGAAGGGTGACCTGGCACAAGGCGGGCGCAAGGGCCGAGGGGGGGGGATTAATACAAAGTGCAGGCTGTGGGTGAGAGAGCAGCACGAATGGAGGCGCAGCGCATAGCGTGCGTGGGTGGGATGAGGAGGATGGGGTGGGTGAGAGAGGGAGTGGTGAGTGGTGTGCTCGCGGGGTTCTGGATGCCTCGAGGCCGGTTGATCGTTCCCAATGCGGTCGATCAGCGTCAACCAAGATGGCTGCAAAGCACTGCAACCTGCGCGCAGCGCGCTGCACACGCTTAATAGGCCTTGGCTGCTTGCAGCTAATCGTCGGCCCTCGTCAGCGCCGTTGGCAACCATCTACTAGACATCTAGACCTCCTAGGCCATCTGACTTTGCCTGCATCGGGTCCGTTGCAGCGCCCTCGGCGAATCGCTGCAGTCCGCTGACCCTCCTCCTCCACCAACCTTGTCCAACGCCCACGCGCGCCATGGCAACCGGCCGAGTGTGAGTGCAATTGAGTCTGAGTGCTCCATACCAACTCGCGACGCCTCCTGCACCGTCTGCAGCATCCGCAACCACAGCCCGCCGTTAAAACAAAGAGGAAACGCCCAGCAAGCACTCCGCGGCGACACGGCCAACCGAGGAGCCAGCAAGCCAGCAAGCCAGCAACCTCCATGTTCGGAACCGCACTGGCTGTGCGAAACGAGCTCTCGGTCGCCCATCGGATCCGGGCACTTACGGGACGCTCCTTGGTGGCTGATCCTCCCACGTGTATCGATATTTCATGCTGTTTCTCCATGCCCTGTCCCGGTTGTCAGCAGACAATGGTGAGACTCGTTCCGTTGTGGCATTTAGCCATCATATCGATTCCGATGCCGACGTCATATCCCACGCCCTTGGATTACATACAATTGTACGTACGACTATGACTATGTAGTATATGCGATATCTGCCATGTATGTACGTACTCGGTTACGGTATGTTGCGGCAGCTGTCGGCTTGCAATTGCATATTCCCTGGGTCGCGGCCGAGTATGCAACCGCCTCTCTGACGCAACGAGGCTGGACGCTGCCTTGACAAGGACCAGCCTCCATCCAACCCATCCAACTACGGCCGCTAGCTGCCTGACCCATTGCCCAGTGACTGAAATCCCCCACGACGGGTGAACATGATCGTCACGGAGATCGAAGATGGTGAGCGACAACATTGCAGGTCCCTGGCACAAGTGCAACGAAGCCGTTGGGCATCACTCGCGCCATTCTTGCTTTGCTTGTCGAATGCCAGCGTCGCTGGATACTCTAGGGCTTGCTGTGTGGCAACCTGGCGCACCACACGTGATTATACGATAAATGTATCCCCACACACCTTTTCTTTCTCTGCGCCACCCATACTGTTTGATTGCATCACTTTGCAGCCTTTTGTCTCTCCTTTTTTTCTTCCTTTTTTCCGTTCTGCATTCTACCCCAGGATGAAAAGGTGACCAGGCTGCACGAATTGTGGAGCCAATCAAGGCGGGGTACGTGGTGGCTTTGAAGAACAAGTACGACGCAGCGACAACAATAACGACAACAAGTCATAATCCAATTCACACGTCATGTCCGAAAAATTTGCTGTAATCAAACTTCACAGCTCACAATCAAGATGCCGAGTCAGGCATCAATACAAAACTGGCTTCTTGATAGGCTTGTTCCATGTTTGCGCCCCTGGATGCATCTTTTCCCACTTCCTCGGCTGTTTGGGTTAAGCGCACTGCCAGCGCTTCAGTCACGTGCCTCCCAAGGCTTCTAGACGTTTTGCTGCCCTTCCAGAAACGGCAATCACCAATGTCCCCACCATTCCATGTTTTTACCATCAAGGCAGAGTACGTACGTATGTAGTAATTGTACATGGCCCTAGGTCCAATTACTAAGAACACACCCTCCATCACTCCGCTCGAACCCTTCCCACTCCCATACACATACCCGTCCGAGTGAGGCGGAGCCGGTACCCGTCTGTCCATGCAAGCCCCACCTTTGCTCCAGCTCCCGGCGACAGATGGAAAAACAGGAAATCACCTTTCAAGACCATCTTCACATCGCACACAAAAACATCACAGCAAGTACAGTCATGGGAGAAATGTTGCGCGCAAGAGTCTATATCATTTCCCAGCTTGGTACTACGACTGACCAGTGCCGCTTATTGACTTGTTGATATCGTCAATCGTCGTCGTCATCGTCAATCCGCTCGCATCACTCAAAGTCGGACTTGGCGGCTAGGCCAAGCGTTTACAGCTGGCCAGACTTCTCAATCTTGACCTCCTTGCTGGTCTTGCCAGTTTGAGAGCCAACCTTCTCAACAGCCTGAACAACGTCAAGGCCCTCGACAACCTTGCCGAAGACGACGTGCTTGCCGTCCAACCATGAGGTCTTGACAGTGCAGATGAAGAACTGGCTGCCGTTGGTACCTAGCCGATCCGGTTAGCTTGCTCTGTCCACGTACAGACAACATTGTAAACATACCAGGTCCAGCGTTGGCCATGGAGAGGATACCGGGTCCAGTGTGGCTTAGCTTGAAGTTCTCGTCCTCAAACTTGTCGCCGTAGATGCTCTCACCACCGGTGCCCTGCGCTACGTCAGCCAGCTGCTCTTCGTTGACAGACTCGGTTATAGCAATTACGTACGTTGCCGCGGGTGAAGTCACCACCCTGAAGCATGAACTGGGGGATGACGCGGTGGAAGACGGAGCCCTGGTAGTGGAGGGGCTTTCCAGACTTGCCGGTACCCTTCTCACCGGTGCAGAGGGCGCGGAAGTTCTCAGCAGTCTGTCAATGGCGGTTAGTTGGCGGCTCGCTACTTGCAACATTCGGAAAAACTAAACAAGATCGATGGTGAAGATTCTGACGGCGGGGTACTCACCTTGGGGACCTGGTCCGCAAAGAGCTCCATGACGATCCTGCCAGCGGGCTGGCCGCCAATGCTGACGTCGAAGAAAACACGGGGGTTGGACATTTTGATGGGAGTAGGGTTTGTATGTGCAAACAAGTGTGTGTGTGAAGATGGAGTGTTGTTGAACAAAGTGATGAGGGGCAGCTTTTAAAAGATCAAGGGCGGGATGGAGGGGCAACGCTATAGCTCTGGCCGCAGAGCAACGATTGCTGCAGCTCCCGAGTGGGGCTGGTCACATGATTCGGCTTCTTACTGCTGACGGTGCTTCTGGGCGTTCGTCAATTGCGCTCCAATAGGACAGCGCTCGGGCTAAGAGGGGTAGAGGGGTACGCAGTACATGGAGGGGAACTAGCGTAGGAATGCACCGCCATGTCAGGGCAGACGTAGTCGGCATGTATAGGGTATGCTTGTGCATAGTTTCGCATCCTGGCCCTTCACTCCGCCATGTACGGAGCTCCGCATTCGTCTCCGCCCTCTGACAGCAGGCGACACGGACGTCCAGCACCATAGTCCTTGGGCTGGCAGAGGGCCATGGTCGGCCCAGCTCAGCTCAGCCCAGCCCAGCCCAGCATAGCGCCCCATGGCCGGCTCCTCACTGCGAATACGAGTAGATGGGACGATCTACATATCTAGCACCATTCGCGCTTGTCAAAATTAGCCATGCTACGGCCCTTTCCACTCTTTCACATTTCGGGACACAGAAACCATCAACACGAGCTTTAGTCAAGGGTCCAAAGAGATGCATTATAGCTACCCACTATGCCGACAAAGGAAATATGTGTCGCCGCACTAAAAAATAATAAAAAAAGAAACCATGGTTTACAAACGCCCAGCCACACTGCTGCACCCTTCAACAGCTTCAGTACACGGGTATCAAACAATATCTAAGGTTGCTCCAAAGCCTGCTCCATCTCAGCCTGTCGCGCAAACTCAGCGCGTTCCGCCTTATCCTTGGCCTCAGCCTCTGCCCACAACTGAATCACCTCCTGCTTGCGTTCTGCGCTTCTCGGCTCAAAGGCCATCTCCCACGGGTCTGGCTTAATGATGAGAAGCGAGTTGGACTTGTTGAGGGGTACCTCGATCTCTTGGCCGGAGACAGGGTCGATCTTGCGTTTCAGATTGAAGGCCCACATGAGCGCTCCGCAGCCTGTCACCGTCTCGTCCCGAGTAATGGACATACCTAGACATTGACGCTGACCCCACCCAAAGGACGTCATGCCCACAATGTCAGGGTACTTGGTCAATGGCGCTTGGAACGTAGGCCACTCAGGCTCCAGCCACCGCTCGGGACGGAACTCTTCGGGCTCGGGGTACTTGACGGGGTTGCGGAGAAAGGCATAGTCAAGAGGGAGAATGCGTGTACCTTTGGGGATAAAGTAACCGTGGAACCAATCGTCTGCTTCGGCTTCGTGCGCAACGCCTATTCTCCCGGTTAGTGCAAATGCAGTCGACTTAAGCGAACTGACATACCAGTTGGAACAGTGGGCTTCCATCTCATTGTCTCCTTGATACACGCGCGCAAGATGGGAAGGTTTGGCAAGTCAGTAACAGAGGGAGGCTTGTCGCCGCAAACACGATCAATCTCGTTCTGGCACTTGATCTGCCACTCTGGGTGGTGTACCATGCTGATCAGGAAGTAGTAAATCGGTCCGGTAACAGTAAAGATGCCAACGAGCGCCATCATTCCAATGACACACGAGGCCTCGTAATCGCCAGAGATGTTTGACTTTTCGGCTGTCTCGAGGTAGTTCTTGGTGAAGCAGGCTCGTTGTTGGCCCTTCTCCATCTTCCTCTTAGTGTTCTGTAGGCATTCCATGAAAAAGGCTTGCTGGTCGTCATGGCGCTTGCGTTCACGAATTTTCCACGGGTTGATGGGCTCGGGCAAGTAGTCCCAAAGAGGAGTAAGAACGTTGGTGATTGGACCGGCAGGGGACATTTGAGTAAGCAGACCCCACGCGCTAGGGGTAAGAGGGGTACTAAGTGAGGCATCATCCCATGTCAGTTGGCACATGACCTTGGAGCACATGTCCTCAAGGGAGGCAGCGAAGTCATCGGGGTTCTCGAGAAGCCTAGCCATCCATCGCTTGGCCTCGAATTCCATAATACCATTATACTGCACATTGGTTGCGCCGGTCAGATAAGAGTGTGTAAACTTTCGCTGACGAGCCCAGTACTCTATTGTCTTGTCAGTCCGATTCATCCTTCGCCCGCTAGGGGTCAACGTACGATTCTTGCCCATAAGGGGCAGATACTCCATGGACCCAAATGTGCTCTTCGCATCAAACAACGACTTGATTTCCGGTCGGTCTGAATACACCTTGGCTTTCTTCACCAGCATTTCCTCAGCAAGCTTTTCGTCTGAGATGATGACAAAGTTGTCGCCCAACATCTTGGTCCGATAGATGGGGCCATACATGTCCGACCACTCCTTGAACTTCAGCCACATAAACTCGATAGGAAGGTCATGAATACGACCAATCCACGGGACCAGCCGTGGTCCAGGCATGTTCTGAACATTGTATCGCTTGTCGTACTTGGCGACAGCGTCCAATACAGCGTATACGACGAGGCCAGCAACGGCTACGCCAAGCGCATACACCGTGAAAGAATGCATGTCGGTAACGCAACTGTGGTTAAGGAGAGTGTCGAAAGGTATGGGTCAAATATGGTAGGCGTCGACAGCTGGCAGCCAAGCCTCGAGAACGAAAACAGGTACGAGAACGGGAAGTAAATGAGGACACACTGACAACGACCAAAGACGCGTGAGAAGCCTGGTAGATATCACACCACAGCTGTCAGGTACACAATCCGTTCTCCGGCTCCCCAGGACGTGCTTTATGTACAAGCATACAGGGACTGATAGTGGGATGAGACGATCCATGACCCTACATCCATCGGCGTGAACATAGGCATCACCGATATGGCCTAAGTTTCGCTTCGAGGGACAGACATCATGCTGTCCAATGGACATCGATGGAAATATGCCGAGCCAATATTTGGTCAGGACCCCACGACAACAACATCCTTGCCCACTCGACATCCTGATACCCCAAACAATGGAAAATGTCAAGGTCGGTGCTGACGAACACCGACTTATGACACGTTGAGATGGTTCAGATTAGGCCCAGGATGTCTGAGTGGGCCCAAAGAGAATAGAGATCGTCATGGACTAAGCGCTGATGCTTGGAATTGAACGTACCAGACCAGCCAAGCATAGCCACGAGGACTAGATGCGAGTGACGAAACATCATTCTACCAGCCGATCCCCTGTTCCCCTACTTTTTACGAGAAAGCCACGGCCTCTTGCCCCCCCGAAAAGGCAGCCTTGCCATCTGCAACAAGCCCTGCTATTGGGCATCGGAAACATTGGTCACGCCGCTGCATCCTCGCCGAGGCTTGACATTGTCTAGATTTTCTATTCAAGTATCACGACGTATTTTCGGGCGCCATATTATGTACCAAGTCATGCCCTGACACTCTGCAAGAGCGTGGCACGTCGTGTACTGAGCCTACCCCGATCCCCCTTTGGCAGATGTAGGTCTCTTCGGCCTTGAATCCTGCGCAGAGATATGCAACACGGCTCGCTTGAATGTCATGACGTCTCCAATAGCTATGCACGGAAAACTAGGGGTATCATTAGGGAAGGTGGTTGAAACCAGCCATAATAAAACGGCTTTCAAATCACATGGGTGGCGGTGGCCTGCCGTCTGCAAACCATCATAGGTTGCGGTGACCCCACAGCATCTGACAAGCGTCTGCATCTTACATGGGAGGCTTGATAAATCACTTTTCTTAGAGTTGATTTAGTGTACCGTCGACAAGCTTGGCTTCCGGAGTTTGCGGGGAACCATAGCGCTGCACGCACACACACACGGGCGCAAAGCACTCCCGGGAGTTTCTAGTTAGCGTCATCACTATCGGACGTAGCGCAAGCTCAACAGACCGCGTTCCTGACATCTGCCGCTAAAGGTGTTGATGCTTGCATTGCGTGACTGTCGTCGTGCGATCGCAAAAGAATGTATGTTTGAAGCTGACCGACCACCCGGACATCCGAGCACCTTCGGCAACCCTCGCTGGTACCCCAACGGACAATGCCAGCACAGCGAAGATTCGACGTGTATGAAAAGCAGGCATGTTGGGGCTCATGCCGGCTTCGACGACACTCCCTCTCTCACCCTCCCTTTACAATCTTACGAAATAAATCGCCATCATGCCTCACGCACTCACCTCCCGTGACTCGACCATGGAGTCGAAGCCAATAGGGTCTTATCCCAAGACCGGCATCGATGTCCTGATTGTTGGGACTGGTCTTGCTGGCCTAGTTGCCGCCCTCGAGTGCACGCGCAAAGGCCACAATGTACGAGTTTTGGAGAGGAATGCCGACATTAACACAGCTGGTGAGCAGGCACCTAAGGGTCTAGCGTAGAGCATATTGCTTATGGTCAACTTCAGGTGACATGTATTTCATGGGTCTCAGCGCGACACGTTTCCTAAAGCACTGGCCTGAACTTCTCAAGGAGTACAAGAAAATCTCACTTCACAATGCCTGGATCGAGACCTTCAAACACTCGGGTGAGGTTGTTATCGGACCCAAGAAGGTCGCGGACCGTCTGCGTGCCCAAGGGCTGGACCCCGACACACCGCCTGGCGAGTTCCAGATGCGCCCGCTCGTGTACAAGATGTTTGTGAGCGCAGTAGAGAACCTTGGTGTCTCCGTAGAGTTCAACCGCAGGGTCATTGACTACTTTGAGGATGAGCAGACAGGGAAGGGTGGCTGCGTTACCGATGACGGCAAACGCTATGAGGCAGATGTTGTGATTGCAGCTGACGGTGTTGGTTCCAAGAGTCAGAAGCTGGTCGGCGGACAAGTGCGCGCAAGACCCTCAGGCAGGGCTATGTGGCGCGCTGCTTTCCCTAGGGAAGCCTTGGCCAAGGACCCCGAGGTTGAGGAGTTCTTCAAGATGATGCCCGGAAACGAGCCTATCGTGAGGACATGGCTAGGGTACGTAGCGATTTGCGACCCAGCATGCGACTGTTCTGACCTGCTCTAGCCCATCCACATACGCCCTTACTCTGTCCCGTGAAGATGTCATGGTGTGGATCATGAACCACGATGTAAGCTTCAGACTAAGCATCGCTAAGAAGCCTAACTAAAGTGTTTCAGGTTACTGGTACTGAAAAAGAAAGTTGGAGCAACACGATCGATAAGCAAGAGGTGCTCGACGGCATGGATACCATGCCTGGTATGGAGAAGATCAAGTGGGCGCCGATCTTCAAACAACTTGTCGAAGTAACACCTCCCAACACCATTGTCAACTTTGAACTGCTTTGGCGTAACCCCCAGCCAAGTTGGTGCTCCCCTGGTGCCCGCGTCATTCAGATCGGCGATTCCGCACACTCTTATCTCCCGGCCTCTGGAAACGGCGCGACACAGGCAATTGAGGATGCTATCTCAATAGCTTCGTGTCTCCAGATCGGCGGCAAGGAGAACATTCCTCAGTCTGTTCGTGTCCACATTCGATTCCGGTAAGCGCCTACTTTGTTTCCCCTAATCACATCTGCACTGAGACTGACTCGCAATCAAAGTTTCATTCGCAACTCTTGTGCTCAAAAGTTAGGCTTCTCTAATGCCGAGCTCCTCCAAGACACCGATTGGGATAAGGTTAAGTTAGACCCACGTCGTGCTGCACCTAAGCTGCCCAAGTGGGTGTGGGGCCATGACCCAGAGGCCTATGCCTACGAAAACTACGAGAAGAGTGCTCAGTCTCTAAAGGAAGGTATCGACATGAAGGATGAAGACAAGTTTGAGCCCAACTACCCCAAGGGATACAAGTACGAGCCCTGGAGCATTGAGAACATCATGGAGGACATGAGGGCCGGCAAGGCCATTGACCTCGGTGCTGGTGACTGGGAATAGCAAGGCTTCTGAGGCTTGTTTATGCGGTATACTCGCGGAGATTAGCCCTGCGTACTCAGAGTTTTGACATTTAGCCTAATGATAATGATATCGAATTGGTACTACTTAATCAGCGTCTTTTGCATCCTTGTACCAGCACCGTGTACTACAAGCAATGCTTTAACGAGATGATCCCAAAGTTTCCGTCACGCCTGGGGTACTTTCCAGAACACTCGTACATCGCCATGCAGCCATAAGCACATGATCAGCGGGAGGGTCCGTTGGCTCGGCTATCTCTCCCACCAAATGGCCACTCTTCTGACTCGTTGGCGCTCATCCTTCGTATGCCCAACCCCCCTGCAACTCAGTATTCTCTGTAATCCCAAATCCCCAAAGCGTGCAGTCTTTACATCACAGTTACATTTCCACATCCACATGGGTCTCGGTGCGACACGACACACCACATTGTCCCTCGCTTACTTACTTTGCATATCAAATACCCTGCATGCATGTGCCTTCTGCCTCCCTTGCATATCCTGGAATGTCGTCGCCCTGGTCCCCCTTGTTGAATTCTGGTACGGGATTTCGGCTGGAAAGCGTGTCCCTATGCAGCAAGGCAAAAAGGCAAATAAGCCATGCAACACGATTCCCGTTGCGCAGATGAGCATACATACATACTCGCCCGTCATCGTGCCAGCAAAATCCTGTCTTTCTTTTCAAAAGGGAAAAATAGACAACAATTGCATAGCATCGTCTCAACTCGCAAAGGCACATGACCATTCGTCACCAGAACAAAAAGAAGCAAAAAAAAATACACACCCCATTCCCTCTCAATCAATTCCCATCTCACAATCGTGTAAGGGGGGGAAAATGAGATTCAGATTTCGAGGAAACTATTGCCATTCTAGCATACTACAATAACAGCCCTGTAAGGCAACTCTGTATCCCACCATTACCAACCACCATCTTCAATCCCAATAAGTAATCGCGCACCCTTGGAAAGTCCGAAGGGGGGAAAAAACCCTCACGGCTCTCCATCGGGAACTTTTTAGAACCCAGGAAATGCACACACACACACAGAGAGAGAGAGAGAGAGAGAGAAAGAGAGACACCCGCCCCTGTAGCGCAAGCGGGGGGGGGGCATGCGTGGTGCTCCGTGGAAAAGACCTAAGAAGAAGAAAATATATGATGACGTTTCCGATGGGTGGGGGAGTGGCGCTAGGGGATATGGAGAGGGGGGTGTGGGTTGCGCGGCACAGATGTGTTGCAGGGGGGTTTTATGTGGTTATGCGGAGAGGTCGGATGGTGGTATTTTTTATTTTTTATTATTATTGTTATTGCCTGACTTTGCTAGGGCTGGAAGGGTGGGTGGGGGTTCAAGATGCAGGAAGGGGGAAGGGGGAAAATTAAGGTGTGTGTGCTTTGTGTAGGAGGATGCGGATGCGGATTTTGAGGTGGATCGGGATCGAGATTAGGGTGTTTGTTGTGAGGAATTGGCATTGTTGGCAATGAGAGATTTGCTTTTTGGTTATGCGTAAGTGGGAATGTGATGAGGTGATGCCCCTCCCCCCCCCTTTGCCGGAGGGTCTGATGGATGCATGTGCACGTGATTCCCATGACGGAGTATTTGCCTGTCTCTGTGGATGCACATACTGTTTTTGATGTGCGACACGTGTTGAAAAAAAACATACAATGCTGATAATCAATCACATTGCCAGCGCAGCATCGGAATCACTCACCCAATGCGGTTTCCAGCCTCGTCTGCAACTCGTCTGCTTTCTTGCTATGCGTGAACTCCCTTACACTCTCTACTCTCCGTCCGTCCTTGCTCATCTTCACAAACAACACCGCTTCAGTCCACCACTCTGTGACCCCACTCTCCTGAAGTGCCCTTCCCTTATCCCCTTCTCCATTGATCTTCCCGCCCATCCGACAATGCGCAACAACAGTATCTGTGTCACGTGAGAAATGCACCGCTGGGCCGCCGTATCCGTCGTCTTGAGGCGTCACTTCGAAGCTATTGAAGACGTCAAACATGGCTTCCATGTTGCCTCGGAAGGCCCGGATAGGCAGGGGTGGGAGTCCCAAGTCAGAAGGTAAGGAGGAATGGGTGAAGTCGCGAGTGGCATGGGTGGTGAGCGCGTGGGAACGCAAAGTGGAGTAACTTCTTATGAAGGCGTTGAAGGTTTGCATGTGTGGCGTGTTTTCTTGAGATTGCGCTGGATACAGATAGTATGCTAGTGGTGCAAGGGTTGCAATGGCTGCAAGGGTCGCGGTTGCGAAGCGGATTTCTGCTTGCGAGAAGCGGAGGAGGTCTGCCATTTTCGATGGCTTTTGGAGTGTCGATACGTTGTTTGCGGATAATTTTTTGTGTTGTAAGCCTCCAAGCTACAATTTGGCTTCATTGCTAGGCCCATTGCAACAATGACCGTCCTAGTCTGTCACTGCTGGTAGCGTGGAGGATCGGTGTCGTCACTCAACTTCAGCTCTATCCGAACTGATCAACGAACCAAACTCCGGCAATTCACGTTGTTTGATCTGCATGCATATTCCACGCTTTTTCCATCTTTGCACGTGTATCTGCAACACCGGAAGTCAAACATGAAAAATCACGTATCGTCTGCGTCAACTGCCCTTGAGCACAGCCGTTGTCAGTGCATATGCAGTCAACCCTCAGTATCGGCGGGGGTTTCTCACCGACCCGACGCCACATGAAACCTTATGAGAACATCATTCATTCGCCCGTAGCCCGCACACTCTGCACATGAAAGTAGTGCACCTAGAATCACTGCCAGAAGAAACGGAGCGTCTTTGCGGGGCCGGTGGTCCCTACCTCTGTGCGACGCAATCACGTGAAAGTCCTACATGCATATCAGCGATGCTGCCACTACGTTTTCGGATTCATGATCCTCTCTTACTGCCACTTGATCTTTTGAGGCTTAAAAAGGCAATTTGACTTATTAGATTTATCACCAAGCCAAACTACAAGTTCGTTAACAACCAAGCATTTTCGCCATGGCCGCCACAAAAGCCATTCTCGTCACCGGCGCCACTGGCAAGCAAGGCGGTGCTGTACTCGAACAACTCGCATCGCATCCTTCCAGCTCACAATTCACACTTCTGGCCGTGACCCGTGATGCCAACTCGGGCTCAGCCAAGAAGATTGTCGAGCGCCATCCCGACGTCGAGCTCGTACAAGGCAACCTCGACGACCCCAAAGCGCTCTTCGCCTCCGCCAAAGCCGCGCTGAAGGAAGCCGGCAAAGAAGAAAAAGTCTGGGGCGTCTACTCCGTGCAAGTCTCGCTCGGCAAAAACGTCACTCACGAGAGCGAAGTCGCGCAAGGCAACGCCCTCATTGACGAGTCCATTGAACAAGGCGTCACGCACTTTGTCTACTCGAGCGTTGACCGCGGCGGCAACGAGCGCAGCTTCGAGAACAAGACGCCCATCCCGCATTTCCAGAGCAAGTACGAGATTGAGCAACATCTCCTCGCGAAAGCGGGTAAGAACGGAGAAAACATGGGCTGGACTATCCTGCGTCCTGTGGCGTTCATGGATAACCTTACCCCTGCGTTTCCCACAAAGGTTTTCCTTGCTGCGCTGCGCGATACCCTGCAGGGAAAGTCGCTTCAGTGGATTTCGGTCGAGGACATTGGACTGTTTGGTGCGCGTGCGTTTGTTGATCATGAGGAGTGGAATGGGCGTGCAGAAGGTCTTGCGGGCAGCGAGTTGACCATGGATGAGATGAGTGGGTGCTTTGAGCGCGTTATTGGTAGCCCCCTCCCTGCGACCTACGGATTTTTCGGATCAACGCTCATGTGGGCGGTGACGGAGGTGAATGTTATGATTAGCTGGTTTGCGGCGGAGGGCTATGGTGCCGATATCAGCAAGTTGAAGAAGGAGGAGCCCAAGTTGTGTGATTTTGAGACTTGGCTTGCGGAGAGGAGTGGATGGAAGGACCAGGCTATCAAGAGGTAGTTATGTTGGCAGTTCTAACGGATAAGTGAATTTGGATGTTTCGGCAGGTCTTTGCCTGTATTAGTCTCTGAGGGTTATTTCCTTGTGTAGCAATGTTTGAAGTTCTTGAGTGCTCTGTCTCCTTCTATCTTTACGAATTCACATGTTCATTTCAAGACGAACACTCTAAAAGACATGCCCTCGAAATCCATTGACGGTTGCATGCCTCGTAAAAGACTCTAGGTATAGGAATACACACTCTCAGCATGAAGATAGAACGTCACAATACGCAAAATGACATCTCAGGCTCAAGGCGATAATGGAACGCTTTCATTCTTCTCATGCTAATCATTCGTAAAGTCCCACAGAGGACACATCCCATGGCTACAATCGAAAAGCCAGCCTTTTCCTCTCACCACACAACCCCCCAGCTCTTCATCCAACCCTCTACAAAGAAAGCAAGTTCCACAACGCCAAACCTCCCGCAACAACCGGCGTAACCAATCTCAACCTATTCCAGCTCGCCCATTTAGTCGCAATCTCTTGTGCCTCGCCCAACTCCTTCTCACTGCTCCGTTCCGCCAGCGCCTCCAACTTATCATTCAGCGGCTGCATGTTGATCGCCGAGTGCAGAATGGTTGTCAGATGCATCACCGCCGCAACACCAAACAGCCTCCAGTCGCTGCGCGCAAGCACACCCTCGCGGTACACAGAGTAACCCGCGTAGGCATACCCAAGGAAGCCGAGTGTGGAAATGGGACGGAAGAATTGGTTTCCTACTGTCCAGCAAAGCGGCCATTGGCGGCCAAGGAGGCGTGCGCGGTCTTTGTGGTCTTTTGAGCCCGGGGGAGGAAAGTCAACGAGGAGGGCGGGGACAGTCATGTAGGATTGTGTGATGGCATTTCCTGTGAGTTGATGTAAGTATTGATTTCTCCCTGCAGCAATTTGCGTGGAAAGGGCAAAATGTGACTGTACCGGCGAGGATAAAAGAGAATGTGATGCAGGTGCCTGCCACACTCTTGACATAGATGTTATCCGACATGATGGCAGTATCAATACTCTTGCTTTGTATCTTTCTTCAAAGCAACACGGTGAATCTACTCAATGTAAATCTGAAAAAGGCAGAAGAAGAGGGAAGAGGAAATAGAGATCAAGTACAGCCAAATGTGACGAACACTTCACCTCAATAAACACTTGCATCCAACAACCCTTTCGGATCACGTTTCATAAACCTGCTAAACAAATAAGGATCAAAACATCCCTACCCGCCCAAGTCCCGATGGGATTCCCCCTCAAGACAAGCTCCGTGTTTGGGGGGGTTTGTGCGGCGGGGCACAACGCACCACACACACACCAACAAGGGTGTGTGAAGGTTGTTGTTCCTGGTGTGTGTGTGTCCCGGCAAAGTGTAAGTTCGGTTCCCCACGTCCGTCGCGCCCCGCGCTAACGACGCGGTCTTCGGGGCCTGTCCTTGTTACTTACATCATTACCGCCCTAAAATGCGCGTGCGATGCGAAACTCGGGCGGTCTGGATATGCGATTGCTTTGACGCGGGTTTAGAAGGAGAAAGACGGTCATGTGCTGGCTGCCGTGGCATAAGGAAGGAAAAGATTTGAAGCAGGTGATACTCTTATTCCTTCTTTTTTTTCTTTCTTTCATGTATTGTGTTTGACAGAAACTTGTGACAATTGTTGTTAGAATTGTAAGCTACAGTGCATGGCATTGAGATGATGGGGGGCTGTTGGCCCGTCTAGACAATTATTGGATGATTGACACTCCTCCGCGGCGTAGTATAATAGCGACGTCAGATGACCAAACCCACTGCTCTCGTCTCGAGCAAGCTTCGACGACCAAAAAGATTATTCGCAAGCGATGATAATAGGAACTAGTATCAAACTACAGAAGCGTATTGGGAATGGTAAGCAATGGGAAGGTATCGCTATAGTATGCAAGGCTGCGCTGAGTGAAGTCTTGGTGTATTACACCTACATACCGTCTCCCAATCAATACATATTTACTAGCTTTTATTTTTGAAACACTATGGATCTGCAGAGCTCGATTAACCCTATTGTACGCTAGCAGAGTTCCACATTACATTGGTCTCGACATAGTAGACATCAAATATGAGCAGATCAGAACACCAAAAACCACAAAGTCATTCAAGATATTTAGAAAAGAGTCGATGAAATGACTGCAAAAACACGAAGAACTTTTAAACCCCAAAACAAGCAAATATATTCATAGACGTTGAAGTCTCTGTATATCTAGTACCCATAGACACCACTTGTTAAATCATGCCCGTATCTACATATCTTCGTATTCCCATTTTTACCAAAAAAATACAAACAAACTCCAGATTAACCATCTAAGCCATGCAAATTCTAATTCGACGCACCATTAGCACCACCCTGCCTAACCATCCAGGTCAGCAAATCCACCTTGGTGACAACAGCAACAGCCCTGTGCTCGCCATCAACCTGCTCCGTAACAACTGCTGCGCTATTCCACTCGAAGAACTTGTTAAGATCGGCAAGGGTAGTCTCCTTTGTAATTTCAACAAATTCTTTTCGGCCCTTCTTGCCGCCCTTTTGCGTGTTCTTGGCGTTGTCGCCGTCGAGGGAGAGGCGGCCGAGGTCCTTGACGACTTCGTTCAATTTGCGGAAATCGAACATGACATCTTCGACGGGCGACTTTGGTGTGGCGCGGCCGGCGGCAATGTATGAGAGGAGGTTGCCGAGAGTGACTAGACCGACTAATCGGGCCTTGCCAGAGGAGGAGTATACGCTGACGGGTAGTTGGTCGAAACCCTTTTCGCGCATGGTTTCAATGGCTTCGCTGCAAGGTGAGTTTGCGGCGACAGTGGTGACGGGCTTCAGACGCAGAGAAGCGATAGTGGCGCCATGGAAGGGGTCGGACTTCTTGCTAGTGGAGAGGCGGCGGAGATGTGCGTTGGAGTCAGGTGAGTGTGGAGGTGTGGGAGGGAGGAGGTCGTTGGCAGCGAGCCAGTCATCATCGACAAACTATTGCTGGTTAGTAAAGATAAATCACAGATATCCTAGATTTCGACGCACCTTGCTGAGATAGCTGCGAATGCTATCGGGTAGTATGACAACCACGACATCGTCTTCAGTCAGGTTCATGTCCCGAGCCGCCTCAACCATAGCTGCCATGGCGCTTCCGGAAGAACCACCGCAGAGGATGCCCTCCTCAGCAATCAACCTGCGCGCATACTGGAAAGAAGATCGGTCGTCGGTCTTGTACCACTTGTCTACAATCTTCTGCTCCAAGACATCAGGAATGAAATCGTATCCAATTCCCTCAACCTTGTACCCCTCATTCACATGCTCTTCATTCAGACTTTCGGGTAGAGCCAGAATACTTCCATGAGGATCGGCGGCAATAATTTTGATGTCCTGCTTGTGTTTTCTCAGACCCCGTGCAAGACCAGTAATTGTGCCTCCGGTTCCAGCGCCAGCAACAAGCATAGTGACCTTGCCCTCCGTCTGCGCCCATACCTCCTCAGCAGTACCGCACTCGTGGGCAAGCGGGTTGTCGACATTCGAGTACTGATCTAGGATATGCGCATTGGGGATTTCTTTGACCAGTCTTCGCGCAACACCAATGTGGCTCTCGGGACTATCCCACGCTGCGCTGGTGGGCGTGCGGATAATCTCAGCACCAAGCGCTTTGAGCACCGCCACCTTTTCCGGGCTCATCTTCTCAGGAAGAGTAATGATTGTCCTATATCCCTTGACTGCTCCGACTAGCGCAAGCCCAATACCAGTGTTACCAGACGTAGGCTCAATGAGTGTGTCGCCAGGCTTTATGCGACCAGACTTTTCTGCGGACTCGATCATGCGCAGGGCAATGCGGTCTTTGACACTGCCACCAGCGTTGAAAGCCTCAACTTTTGCGTAAACGGTAGCTCGGATGCCAAGCGACTGTGGGATTTTATTCAGGCGGACGAGTGGTGTGTTGCCAATTTGTTCCATGATGCTGTTCATGACGACGGGTGGCATGGCGGGGCGCGTTTTGGTAGACATTTTCGCGGTTATCGTGCTCTCCAAGGGCACTCTGGGTATATTGGTGTGAGGGTGGAGAGAGGAAAAGTTTTGCGTGGAATTAAAAGAAAAAGACGAGTACCCACACGTCAAAAGGTGACAAAGTTACGTTATGGCCAGACGCTCCGAGTTGCGTTAGCCACGGCAAGCCAGAAAGTTGACCCGCAAATACCCGCCGCTAGTAGTTCCTTCCGACACGTGATAGGTAGCACAGCCACAGCCTACACTTGGCAAACGAATCTGTGCATGTTCGGAGAATTTTGACCGTTTCGTTCTTTTAGGGATTTCTGTCGCCGCTTTTGGATAATTGTTTGGAACTAAATATGGAGAATCCCAGCCTAAAAGAGGTTGAGGCGGGGTTTCCATGGGTCCATGAGATGCTTTTACGTGCATACCATGGGTAGGCCATATAGAAATACGTTCAAGTACTCTAATTCGCATCACTTCGATTCATGATTCGCATCGGCATTCCAGCATAATTCCATTAGTTCTAACTGATAGGGCTGCTGATATGCTCTATGGAAGCTCCGCCTGAACCCCCTTGCACTCGTATCTTCCGTATCCCACCAACTCTGTGACTCGGACCACCGCCCGTGTATCCAAACCCAGAACAAGATGAAAACAAAAAGGCGGTATCGAACGAGCACTTGACGAAACGAAAAGACGACATCGAAAGAACGCTTGACGAAACGGAAAATCTCAAACCGTGGAATGAACCTGTTCCCAATTCCTTTGGGTCAGCCTGCGCGTGCGTCGCACTTGACTGAGTAGGGGAGGGAGGAAATGCTGTGCAATATAAAAACCCCAGCCCCCTCAAACAGACCGCCCCCCCCCATCAGCTGTTCTTTTCTGTTAGTCATCAACGGGTCTGGGGGATACATACCTAGGGCATATCCTCCTCAGCCCTCAGCGCGTAGTAGAGTTCTCTGCATATGGGGGGGTTGTCGAATCTGCATATCACTGGGTGACTATCCCTACCTTTTTATGCACCTGATCACATCATTTCAGAACCCCGATGCCCCCTTACGCCAGTATGGCGGGTGTTGTGGGATGCTGGAACGAGTGTAAGTTGTCATGCGATAAGAGAGTGGGTGGTCTCATTCCAGATGTTATGGAGGAAAAAAGACGTACTCAGGACTGGTGATGATATTGAGGCTGCGACTGCAATGCCAAATCCTTATGCCTTATAGCTGGGTCCAGTTTGTAGGACAGGAGGGTACGGCAATATTCAGCAAGCCATTCTGAAGTCCAAAGAACAGTACGATGTCAAAGGCTGTGGGATGAGCCTGGAGGAAGAAGTGTCAGTAGGTGGTGATGGAAAGGACAAGGAAAGAGAGGGACCTCTGTCTAGAGGCTGATGGACTTGCTTCAGGGAGAAAGATGTATGAGGAAGAGTAGGATGAAGAAGAAATGGACGAGAAAGGGGGAGGTCAGTCAATTTATGGTGCGCAGCTTGTGCCTATGCGCATCTCTGCCTTCCATCTATACACGCCTTCGCCTTCCAGTACCGTGCTGCGAGATCCCAACAAATATCTGGCATATCTGGGCATCAGGAAAGTACTAATAACACTGGGGCAAAGCGGCAAGTATCTTCCAAGTATCCGCCTCCCCCGACACTTTTACACCTTGACAATCTCAGCAGGTACATCCCAATATCACCATCAATTCACAAGTTTTAGGCGTACGATCCATACGCACAGGAATTCCCTCGTCCCAACACAAGCCATCAAGATAAAAAAAAACAGGAAGGCAAAACCTGGATCCAGTGCCCAATATAGACCACCATATCGCAAGAAGAAAAAGAAACTTAGTACTAGCCTGCAGAAAGTAGTAGTATGTAGTAAGAAGAAGCTGGAAAAAAATCACACTCGATGCTCTCTCGTACACGCCTTCACCCACAATTTTCCAGATACTCGGGCAAGATACACCACTACTACTACTACCACCGCCGCCTTCTAGCAAGTCCCACCCCCGGGCAATCTTCCAACAAAAGGTTAAGAATAACAACCAAAAAAAATACCAAAGTGCAAGAGCAAAATGTCGCACAAGAAACAACCGAGGCTACGCATCCGTGTATCCACGGGGAAATCGCCATACATGGGTAAAAACAAGAACATCTCGTTTCCAAACATTCAGATTAGTGTAATGCATAATAGTACTAGGCCAACTACATCACTGAGATATGGGAGGTTGTTCTTTTTTTTCTTTCTTTCTTTCTTTCTTTCTTTCTCTCTCTCACTTTCCTTCGTCACACTTGTAGTGTTTGTGATACTGCTATCCTTGTTCTCATGGGGTGCCGCTCTTCTATACTTTTTGTAGCTTTGCAATACCAGATAGTCAAAAGGGGTTAATTTGGACATATTGCCAAGAAGGCATTCTTTACTTCGCAAGCAAAACTTGATAATGCAACTTTTCTTCCTTTTTTTTTAAAAAAAAGTAGGGGGAGCAAATGTGGTAGAAGAAATGAAAATTATTAGTATAAATTAACCATTTATATACACATACATGTACACGCACAAAAGCCTCTCCATATAGTTGTAATTCGTAACAACCCAAGAAAAACTCTCAAAGTTGCTCCGCAATCCACTTCCACCATCCATCCAACCCAGGCCCGGCCTTGCCACCCACCACATTCCCGCCAATAACCACAACACTAGTCCTACTCTCCCCCATCTGCTCAAAGCTAAACGCGCCCTCACCGCCCTCGCCAAGCCACTCCTTCTCCTCATCCACCTCATCCTCGCCTCCACTCAGCGCCGCGCCGCCATCCCTCAGCGCCTTGGCCCTATTATTCCTAATTTCCGTAATAGCCTTCTCAAGCGAATTCCTAACCAGATGCTCAGGCAGCGCAGTGAAAAGATCCATTTTATTCGCTGCAATAAGCACGGGGATTTCCTTGGGCCCTTTACTCGTTGTGGCGTTTGTGTATCGTTTCTGCAGGGAGAGAAGCACGTCGTGAAGGTATTCTGCCGCCTCAATGAGACCAGCTTCGTCGGCGAGCTGAGCAGCGTCAAGCATAAAGATGATGGCGCGGATGTTCTTTGGGTCTGTGAGTTGCGAGGTGGCGTGGTGGCGCAGCTTGCCGTGGCCGGGGGTGTCGAGGAGGCGGAAGTTGCGTGAGCGTTCGTAGGCTGGGTCGCCTGGGGAACGGTAGTGCGAGGATGCGGGGACGTGGGGACTGGGGAGCAGGGCGGAGACGTTCAGGGGGGTCGTCGACGTGTGTGTCTGGGTCGAGGCGCTCCGTTCAGCCTGCGAAGGGGGCCTGGGTTAGCCATGGGCTGTGTCATGCAGTGCGGCTGCGTTGGGCGTGGCTGTGGCGGGGGGAAGTATACTTACCAGAGTCGCAAAGGCCGTTTTGCCGCTTCCGCTCGGGCCGACGAGCAGGAAGGTGGGCAGCTGAGTAGCAGCCGCGGCTTTTCTGTAGAGAAAGCCATGCACTAGTATTGGCAGTATTATGGCGACGAGAAGCGTGACGATTATGGTCGTGGGGTTTGGCGCAAAGGCTGCCGTCAGCCAGCTGTCCTCATCGTACCAAGCCATGGTGGCGGTGGGCGGGTGTGCCTGGGGGAGCAGCAGAGAAAGTGGTGTGGAATGGGGACAAGACAAGACAGGATAGGACAGGGTAGAGTAGGGCAGGGCAGGGCAGGGTGATGGAGGTTGCAATGACGTGACAACTATGGCAGGCCGAGACGGCGCAGTCCCGTCAAAGTTTTGGCCGCTGCCGCCGATCCCTCACCCTGAGCGGGCGTACGGCGGGGGGAAGGCGGAAAGACCCCACGCTAGAGGCAGAGCGCTAGAGCCTACAAGAACCTCACCTCACCACCGCTCGCTACGACGCCCACCACGCCGCGGAACATTTCGCAAAAAAAAAACAAAAAAACAAAAAAACAGCACTCCGGGCCGTAAAACAAAAAAACTGGGGCCGCCTGCATTCGCACAACTAGCACAAAGCTTTTAGGACGCTACATAATCATACAACAGACAAGGGGCCGCCATCGTCAGCCTTTGCGTGCACTTCCCATCCTCCCGTCTGCCCTTCCCCCCGCCTTCGATGCCCAGCCCTGAATAGCATGTGTCATAACCACTCATTAGTCACAGAAACCCAGCTCGCCGTCTCTTCATAGCCCATCAGGACACATATCAAAGCAGGCCAGCCAGAAACGGCCCAAACAGGCAAAGAGGGCATGGCCAGTTGCTTTTTCAACCCTCATGCACCATGCGCCATGCGCCATGCACATACATAACCATGAGAGTGCCCAGTACCCATGCCTGCATCTTCCTGAACACCTGTTTGCACCCCTCTTTTTTTTACCCCGAAGCCAACCATCGTTAAGAGAAAAAAGAAAAAAGAAAACATAAACCTGCAAATCGTACCCAGAAATGAAACGAGAAAAGTGAAATCAAGTCGTGCTTTCGTCGTGCCATGAGGGGGTCAGCGCCGCGACATGGTGAATGATTAACAATGAGGGATGTGTGTGTAGAGAAAAAAACAAAGCAAAAGCAAGCCAGCAACGCGTCACTCAAGACATACCCATTGCAGCTACAACACTTGGCCCACCCACCACCAGTGACAGTACTACAACCAACCATGTTGAACACAGCTGTCCCAAATGTAGTAGCACCCTGAGTGTTGCACTGCGGCCAGCATGCTGGTGCTTGACCCCCATGCAGCCTTGGTCGAGCGTGATGTAGTGTCCACGCCTTTCCTACTGCCCATCTATACTCGGCCGTGGTATGCATAACATCGGTCTGTGTGCGTCGTTCGCTCCGAGAGTAGTCCAAGTGCGGGACGGTTGCGAGGGGAATCCACCCAACTTGTCTTGGCCATGCCATACTCGCTCTGTAACGTCAACAAACAAAGCCGCCACAAAATCCGCTTTCTCAATACGTGTGCGTCTGAACGTCAGGGTAGTAGCCGCGGCTACTTTCTATGCCTTGAAATCGGCCGCATCCTCCCACTTGCCACGCACCACTGGGATATTCTTCCTTAACCCTACGATCTGGTGGCGGAAGTGTGCCTTCAAACTTGCTCGAGGTGCTCTCATAGATGGTCACCGGGTAGTACGAGTATTCATGCGGCGTCGTGTCCATCATCTTGCTGTCACCGTCCTCAACCATCTGTTGGTCACCAACGATTCCTTGAATGTTTCCCCCACTCAAGGAGCTTGATGAACTGATTGAATGGCTGCCAACCGGACTTGGGTCCAGCGAGTATGTGTTGCCACGATACATGCTCCCGCCCATGCCTGTCGTACCACTGCCAGACATGGCGTTGCTGTAGCTTGAGTAGGACGTGCGGCCGTTGGATCCCAACCCATGGTGGCCACTGCCACCCAAGCCTGAGCCAGGTGCACCTCTGGATGTACTGGCATTGTGCGGGCCTTCGTTCTGGTAATGACTGGGCGACCGTCCCCGGACAACGACCGGCTGGGACAAGCGAGCTGCCACCTTGACCCACCTTGGCCCATCCTCCTGCGGCTTCTGTACATTCGCCCACAGCTCTACAATCAGATGGTAGTACTGTTGTTGTGCCCGACGCTTGCCGTTGTTGGCCGTTGCCGATTTGAACTGGATGCGCTCAAACGAATGCTGGTAGTTGCTACTACCATGGCTTGTGGGAGAGTATTGCTGCGACGACTCGTTCTCGCTTTGCAGCGGAAGATGAGGGCCTGCTACAGCCGAGGTTTGATGGAAGTTGTTAAGGGCATAACTACCGTGCTCATGACTTTTGCCTGGTGGTGTCGGTGCCAGCAGCTCCTTCTTCATGGCTAGCTGGGGGCCTTTGTCGCGCTTTGGGGTATGCTGAATCAGCTCAATCGTCTTTCCCGATGCTCCGTCCACAGCAGCTCCAAGAGAAACAGCCATCGACTGTATTTGCTCGCTTTGCTTGCCATTGCCCTGATCTAGGTACAGACGTCCGTTGGGCGTCCATGGCGAGAGTTGATACGACACATTCACAGCAAAGTAGTTCCGCCGATAGCAGGTCCATACGTGGTCGCTTGAGAAGAAGAAGCCCTTTTCAATCTTGGCGTCGAGGGTGGGTGTCACCGTGTTACCTTCGCAGAGGATTGTGCCCCAGACCGACTGTGCATTGAACGGCGGCGATTCAGGTGAACCGGTGGGCGGTACATAGGTACCCGTATGATAGCCGTTGTTGTAAGTAGTTAACGGCATGGCTGTCGGAAGTACACTCCTGGGAGTGTCGGGCTGGGAGGTGTAGCCAGACAGATCGGAGCGAGGGGACAGGGTGTGTGAATATCTATGCATGGCAGACGTCCCTGTCGTATAGTTGTCTCTCGCCGATGAACCCATCGACGGTGACACAGAGTGGCCTAGCCCCGGTGATCTTGCAGTGGGTAACATGCCTGCGGATGGTGCATCATTCCTACCATGTAGTCGTCAGCGGTTGTGCATGCCCGTCGGGTTCCACACGCTCGAGTGCGAAATGTTGGAATACTCACAGTCGTCGAGTTGAGGACATGCTGCCGCCGTTCCCCCAGCCAGGAGTGAACACTGGGGGGAAATGGTTGGGGTAAGTTGTTGCAACAGTCTGTGGAAATGTTGCGTACGAGTATGCCAGTGCCGAAGAAGCAGTTGAACTAGGTGAAGTACTAATGGACGCAGACCCTGAATCCGAGAGAGCCGCACTCGTCTGATAGCTACAGGCACGAGTCAGCCTAATTCACAACACAAGCCATTGGACCAGAGTGAGGCCAACGATAACCATATGTAACCAGCCGGTAGGGTGGCACGATTTAAGTCGTCAAGCAGGCCAGGGGCGGTACGGCATTACCGCAAGATTTGTCGTGTGATCAATACGACAGACCGGCCTGTTGGGAAGACCGAGTATGCCATGCATCTGATACGTGTGCGACGGCGATTATGATCAAGGACATTGACGACGTGGTTGTTTCGGAGTAGGGAAGGCTATGCTTGGGCTGCACCGGGCGAGAGAGGCGTCAAGGAATGCAGGCTCGGGGGCCACAGGGCTAGGCAACACCACCGAGCCTGCCATGCCAGACGGGAAGAAAACAGCCAATGAGAGCTTTCATACTTACGCACTGTCGGCACGATGTGTACCGTAGCAACCTGCGATCGAGCCTTGGTGGAGCCCGGCTGGTGCATGTGTTAGGACTGGCTCGCGCCTGAACTGATCGGATACGCTTGCGAATGAGTTATGATGTGCATGCGCGCCAATATGATCGATATACCCTTCCTCCGAAGAAAAAGGGTTTTCCGATGCCAATGACGGCGGTGGTTGCAGCACTGCTTAGCCTGCGCGTCAGCCAATCGACTTCCCCCAAACAGTGTGCTGTTGAACAAGACGTGTGACAACAACGGGCAACGTGCACAGGTGCGCAATGGAGCGTAGATGGGGGCACGTGTGGGACGCCGTCGCACACGCGGCACAGCGACCGGGTGGCAGAGCAAGCGTGCAAAAGCAGACTGTACGGGTGGGCAGAATACCACGTCCGTAGCGTGCTGCCGTGGGAAGAGGGGTCGACCAACAGCCGATGCACTCGACGTGTTGTGGTGCAATATAGGAGTGAATGCAGGAATGACGGGTGTGAAAAGAGTGCGGAGAATGGCGCAAGGTGATGGTTGGATGAGTGCGGCGCTTAGAGCCAACGACTGAGGGCAAGGCAAGGAATGATGGGATGGCAATTCTTTTTGCCCATATGCTGCATGTGGGTTGGAAATACGTGTGAATCTGACTTACCTTGATTCATGATAATACTGAGCAATCGACGCACTGCCGCTTTGCTATGTATGGTCGATGCCGAGGAGAGCCCGTGGGAGGGCAATGAGCCTTGCAAGCGTCTCAATCTATTGCCGCCCTCTCTTCTCTAGAAATTCTGCACCGGAAGACCCGACAGACTGGGTCCAATTCAAATGGCGCCGGCAGTGGCGAGAGGATTCGCTGCTGACAGAAGTCCGCTACAGCCGAACTGCTTCGCACCGTGGCCTAAGATGCGGATCGATCAAGCGAGTCAGCGGCTTGCGTAGCAGTTCGAATGGTAAGTTTCGGCGCGCCGGGGCGGCTGCGAGAGGGTTGCTGAAACGGGATGGTGGTCAAGCCGGGCAAGCTCGTTTCGAGCCGCTGTTGGTTCGCTTCAGGCAATCTCTGTGGTTTAGCCGGCACAAGGGTGGAATGGATCCTCGATTAGCTGCCGCTGCGCTTTACTGGGGGAGCTAGGCTCTGTTGACGCTGATGCTCGGCCTGGGTAGAGTGCAGTAAAATCAGGAGCAGTCACCGCAGTACGCCCGTTGACTTGCACCTTAGACGTGTGAGGGACGCGCCGCTCAACTTGATGCCGGAGATAGTGCAACGCCTGTGTTAGTCCCAATGCTGCATCTTGTCAATGCGCTGGCCGTGGCAACGGAGGAGGAGAAGATGGACTAACAGGCTTGGGGGTTTTTTTGGAGGGACGTGCGATGCAGTGTAGTATGTGTTGATGTCACTCGCAGCGGCTGCGCGACGCCCTGAGAGTCGAACGGCTTGTCTCCGCAGAGTGAGAGACCCACAGCTGCGCTTTGTTTCTTCCCGCACTCTCCAAGAATCCGGGATGTCAAAGTCAGAGCACAGACAGGTACAAATCGTAGCCCCGCCGTTTGGTGCCAGGAGTTTTTGGTGGTGACAAATGTGGGAAAGGGACCACTCCGACGTTGTATACTATCAACTGTCAATCTCGCAAAGTCAAGTCAAGACGTATGTCGCGCCACACGGTTTCGAACTTACCAGGCTATGCAGCCGTTTTCCAAAAGAGATTATGTGGCGTCAACTGGTATTCAACCGTGGCTGTTGCCACAAGAATACGGGCTTGTAGTCGGAGAGTGAGCAATCTATAGGCAACTCCGGGATCTGGGGTGATCGTCGACAGACAAAAGATGTGCTGTCTGCCCTAGGGTGAAAGTTATCGAGTATAGCTTGGATAAACAAGGATAATACCACGGTCAAGTAGTAGTAGATATGAGCCTGGCTCGGTATGGGTAGCAACTGTACGGTGTAGGGGTTGAAGCATATATGCCCTGTGCTCACTATTCGAGATTCATCACTTGTGTTCAGGATGTTGCACAAGCTCACCAGGGTTAACAGCCCCGTGATCTGCGAGGCTGGTAGGGTACCGGTTTATGGTGTCAAGATAATGATTTAGAGGAGATTGTTGGAAATAGTGGGTCCGGGGAAGTGAGTGGTGACGGACAGGATGGGATATGGGAAGGGTGTGTCAAGGACACCAAAGGCGGCCGAATAAGAGTGGGCAGTAGAAGTACTGTTGACAGGCAGGCAACGCTACAGCTCGATGTAGGGTAGAAGCAGACTAGGGCCATGACGGATCTGTTGGCTCGAAGAAGAAGTGCCTGCCAAGTGAGTATAGGCGTGAGGCATGCATGGTAGGCGTGCCGGATCAAGATTCAGCCCCAAGCAAACCATCCGTATTCCTCAGACGGTGGCCGTTTTCTAGCACCACGGTAACATTTGCAAACTGCAGCAACGAGCCTTTCCCGAAGCAGGGAGTGAATATCTCCGACGCCAGGGAGGGATCGTCTTCGCCAATGCCTAGATTCACAAAGCTCGAATAGACTTCAGGCCCTCGCTGAGCTTAGCACTCCCTGTTCTCCGGCCCACCGCCTCACGGCCCGTCCATTGGCTCGGCCACCAAAGGCATCACAGTCCCGTGCAGCGATGCAGGAACATTGAATACAACAGCGTGCTCCGATCGGGGCCCGACTCGACACGACAGGTTAACGACCGCAGTGCTGGGTCGCTGATGTTTCATCTCTGGGCCAGCCGCCCAGAATAACCCATGGGACAGACAGATGACCATAGTTTGCTCTCACTCTTGCCACAGCCTTGCTGCATTGGATCGTCAGTCACGGGCGGCGTCCACTCAGCAGCCGGTGGTGGAGAGGCCCAGTCCAGGCGTAGCTAGGAGCGCCACGGGCCGAGAGCCGCTGGCAGACGACAGATCGTCCCGCGGGTTGAGGGTGAAGGAGAGGGCCAGACAGCGAGAGTGGGATTAGGCTCAGGCCCACTAGCTGTCACAGAGAGCGAGCGCAATAAGACTACCTGGCCTGGAGGGAGCCGCTCGAGGTGACTGGAGATGACGACGAGGAGGAGAATGCTGGGACATGCACACACTTTCACGCACACATGCACACACACGGGCGCCACGGCCGGCGAGCGATGCGCAGGTGTTGCATTGCTTGGATGTTTGGGTTAGAGCACCTCGCAGCGCCAGAATAGAGGCTTTCCAGCGTCCATTTTCCCTGCCCACCGCTCACACCCCGACCCGACATAGTGGGTGGTTGACTGCGCAAAGCTCCGAAAGCGGGTAGAGCCAGGCAGTGCACCCAGCGGCTGCAGCAAGTCACATAGTGTCAGCGGCTGTTTGTCGGGCTACGGTACGAGATGGATGCGGCGAAGGGCATATTGAGACTGGGGGCATAGTAGGGGGCAGTGGTGGTAGTGGTGGTCAGAGAGGGGGGGGGGGGGCCAAGGGAGGGGACGATGGCGCAGAGCGATGGGCCGCCGTCGCTCTCTCCGCGGCGGCGGCTCCCTTGGGGTGTCGACACGATGGACAGGCGACAGACAATGGACGGGCCAACAGGGCGGACGAGCGAGCGAGCGAACGAGCGAACGAGCGAACGACCAAGGGCATCGATGCAGATGGCATGCTATGGCCTGCAGAGACGGCAGGACAGGGAATCGGGAAGGACCACCCGGTGGTGACGTGCACCTTCCCGCGGCTGCCCTTTCCCCCCGCGTGTACCCGCATCTTCCCCTTTCGGTGCTAGCGCTTGCTTGGCATCTACTGGCCCCCCCTCGTACGACACCCATGCGCAAACTCCCCAAACCCCTCGCACCGTCATGGTGTCTGCCTGGGTCTAAGTATCTATGTACACATACAGCGCCAGCAGCCTCGACACAACGAGGCCCTCTCCTGGCCCAGACGGAGACGGCCGATGCTTGTGGGACGACAATCTCACTTCCCATGCTCCCTCGCCTTCATGTGTCTGTCTTGCACGTTGTGGCCGCCCACCACCACGCCATGGGGGCTGACGCGCCATGAGTTCCCACTTCTTCGCATTGCATTCCCTGCCTCGAGGTAAAAGGCTCATGTCCGTCCTGATCCAATCGCCAGCTCGTCATCATCAGCTTCTCGAGTGAGGGA